ATTTTTGCGATTATATTGTGTGTCAATCTATCTTAGTTTCTGCTAACAATTCTTATCAAAATTGGTTATTTTCGGTTATGTTGACTTATTTGTAGATATTATTGTGGCACAGTGCATAACATCTTTGCTATTAAAATGTTCCTCCCTATAAAATGCAAAAAATGTAATAAAGGCCAAAAACCATCATTAAAGGACAATAACTCCTTATATGTTTGTACTAACATGAGCAACACGACGGGTGCCACATGTGGAACAGGATCTGCTTACCCTTCCGAAGCACCTGAGACCACCACCAGTTTTTTTGTGGGGTTCATGTTGCTTGAAGTCTTTAGTTTTCTATGTTGTGTTTTGTGAACTTTTGTTTGTTGGTCTTTTTCTTTTTAGCCATGGCGTTGTCAGTTTTTTTTTCGACATGAGTTTTAATGTCCCTTTGGTGTCTTTCGCCTCTCTTCTATAAGGGGTCAATTGACAATTTTCACCATTGTGACTAATTTATACATATTTTTGGCAGAACATTATTGCTATTTACAGTTTGCCTCTATCTATGGTTTCTGCAAAAATCATCTTTTAAGGGCATTAATTTCTATAAGGGTTCAATTAACGATCTCGGTCGTGTTGATTTTACTTTGCTGAACTTTTTTTTTTATGAAGGCCATAATAGTCTATTATATTTTTCAGAGATACAAACAATCAAAAATTTGTGAAAAGGATCTATAAATGTATATAATGTACGTAAAAAGCATCGATACAAATCAATTTTATTCCCTTTTTAATTTAAATTTCTCGAAAAAGCGTCAACAGAATTACACGGATTCGTTTTATTTTCAGTCAAAACCATTTAAAGTAGGTAGAGTGAAGAAGTGTCGGAAGAAAATATAAGCGTCAAGCTGCTACGGCGTCAAGCTGCAATATTGGTGTTCATGATTTTTCCCTGCATCAATCATCCTTTATATTTAATGATTAAGACGGGGGAAAAAGAATGTGGTGACCCGGCCCCTTATATTTTCATACCATTTAAACGAAAATGAGCATAGCGACAACGTATCATTTTAAAATTCAATATTGTGAACGGAATCTTTAGAATTCACAATGTTAAGCAATTAAAATGAAGTTTAAGTGGCTTTTTGTTACCCACATCAACATTCTATACATTGTTAGTTTTTATTTTTTTGTAATTAATTAAATTATCTTAAATCAGTTGTATCTCTAGAATCTAAATATTAAAGCTGCATATACCATTTATTTTATCTACATGCATATGTAGTTTAATGAGTTATGGATGTATACAAAATTTCGAAAAATTCCGAAATATTGACCAACTATATAGATATAAGAAGATGTGGTACGAGTGCCAATGAGACAACTCTCCATCCAAGTCTCAATTTGTAAAAGTAAACCATTATAGGTCAAAGTACGACATTCAACACGGAGCCTTGGCTCACACCGAACAGCAAGCTATAAAGGGCTGCAACAAAAATGACTAGTGGAAAACCATTCAAACAGGAAAACTAACTGTCTTAGTTAAAGTCAGTTTGTAGATGATGCATAAGATTTGCCGACATTAGTTTAGTTTGTAATTTCATCAAGTATATCAAGAATATTTCGTGGTGTTTCAGCAACCAAGCTTAAGTTGGTTTAAAGTTTTAGCACTGAGTTGCGAGTTTCTTTGTTTTAGTTAGTAGTACTAATGGATTCCAGGGGCGGATCGAGGATTTTAGGTTAAGGAGGGGGGGGGGGGGGCGCAAACATAAATTTTTTTGAGGTAAAATTATCGAAATATACTTTATTAAGCTGAGGACAACCCATGCTTTGCAAATTTTATGGGGGAGGGGTGGGGCACGCCCCAGCCTGAATCCGCCCCTGGTTCGAAATGGACAGATGTTTATGTCCAGCAGGCATTGAAATAGTTTGAAAGTTTATTGAACAATCATGATTGTATTGAAATGACAGACTTGACATATTGACGCGAGTTTTCTTTATTTACTTCTATATTAATATTTCTAATATATTTTCATAGAGTGAATGATTTTTGGTATAAATGGTTATTTTTTTCTCAATGATTTCGAAAAGTATTATCGCTACATAGTTTGTATATATCATAAATTACTGGTAGCAGGGGCGGATCCAGCCATTTTTAAAAGGAGGGGGGGGGGGGTCCAATCATATGTCCCAATTCAAAAGCATTGATCGTCAACAAAAGGGGGGTTCCAACCCCCGGAACACGGTGTGATGATTGACAAGTATGTACATTTGAAATGGTTTGTGCCACAGCAGTAACTACCTTGCTCCACAAGTTTGTAAGGATTAGTGATATGCTTTTAGAATTATAATGTATTTTTTTTTAAATAGGTTGAAATAACTGAGAAGTATGCGAAGCACGTAGTTTTGGTTTAGAGTTATTTCCCTTGTTTTAGGATGTTTTTAATATTCACTTAATATATCAATGTTATTAATATGAACAACTAAATATTACACTAAAAGATATTTATACTATGATTTGATGATGAACATGATATTTGTACTCCTTATGTTCACAACTTAATTGTATTTTTGAAGTGCAATGTAATCAATTATACAAAATTACACAGCATTAGTACAATATTCTTTCATTACATTTAATGGTATTATACAAAATTACAATTAAGTTGAGAAAATAAGGAGTACAAATATCATGTTCATCATCAAATCATAGTATAAATATCTTTTAGTGTAATATTTAGTTGTTCATATCAACTTTACCACCCTCTTACCACCACCTCCGTGTCCTGCAGGCACTTGCCCGCAGGTGGTGTCAAAAGTTACACGTGCTTGTGTTCTTTCAAAGTTCATAAAATGTGGAACAAATGTCCTCAATTTCTCTATTCTATTTATAAGGGGACACGGATCTGGGACTATTATACTAAGTATAATAGTCTCGATAATAGTCCCAGGTTGGAGGCATTAATGTCATTATAACCATTGTGAGGGTACTACTGGAAAGAAGTCGTTTAAGAATAGATCAACCAAGGATTTGTTTATTGGATCAACGGTGATATCATTTTTAAACTGTGATACCCAAACAACCTTGGTATGAAATTCTGGACAGAAATCTCCGGCCTGCAGGTGAAAATAAAACTATTTTTCAGGAAGATATTTTTTTTTACAGTACATGGCTTTAGCTGTGGGTCTGTTGTTAACCGTGAAATCGAAAGCGGATACCAATTAAAGTGGTAATTTATAACCATAAATCCAATAAAATGAGAAAAGTTAAAAGAATGAAAGATAAAAACAACAGTAACCGTTGGGCTTAACATTACACAAAAACTAAAGATTGTGCCAGTGACGGATCCAGAAATTTTCATGTAAAGGGGCCCACTGACTGCTAAAGAGGGGGCCTCCCTAGTCATGCTTCTTTGATTCCCGATATAATAAATCAAATTTTTCCCACAAAAAAGGGAGGGGCAGGGTGCTCTAAATCCGCCTCTATGTGCAACACGAACCTCCAAAATACATGGGGTGAACTCAAGAACTGTGAATGATAAAGTTAGGAACTTCCTGCTCAACATGTGGCAACCTAGGTTTGAGCATACATGTAATTGCCAAATTAAGTAAGTAAAACTTTCATTTGATTCGCCATATTGGCACACATGTGAAGATAATATCTGGTGAGATTTTCGTCGAATATCATGTCAGAGGAGATAGTGTTAAAAATATTTGCATGGTTCATGGAGGGTGGTAAAGGGTTATTTTCGTGCAACGTGTTTTGCCATTTTTATTTCACGTGCAGCCGTGAAAAAGGTTCGTTATTCACCGTGTTTCGTGAAATCGGTAAAAAGATCAACGTGCAAGAAACTTTTTATTGTTCGTACATCGTGAAATGGCAATTTTATTTCGCGTTCTTCCGTGCAGATACCCCCCCCCCCCCCCCCCCTTTACGCCCCTCTTCATGAGTTGAAAATTATAAAACAGAAAACAAAATGTATTGTTTAACCTTGGACAAAAAGATCAAGTCCAAAACTGGCTATTATTTGTGTAGGCTAGCTTAACCTTGAAGAGTATGCAATTCTAAATCAAGGAGGCGGTATGCAATTTCCTAATAATATTACAAAAGAACTTGTCACAGATTCTTAACTAAACGTCTACCAGATTAGTAAAATTTCCAATTCACTGACATCTGTTGGACATAGATACTCAAATTGCAGAATCTTATTAGTAATAAAAAAATCTGTGTTTTCTGTGACAACATTTTGAAAAACATATGTTAATATTTTATTTATTAATAATTACACTCTAACTGTCTAACATTTTTAATTCTTCTCTGATTACAGTAATTCTCGTTTGTCAATTTTCCCAACTTCCCATGCTCCCCTCAGCAGAGTTATTTAATTTTGAATGGAACAAAATGTGAATGAGTTATAAATAATATATAAATGATTGAATATTCTTTATTTAGTTTTTCTTTATTCTCAATTCTTCCAGAGACATGTATATGCTCTGAGAATAATGTCTCTGCATGATTCTTCATAATTAAATATACTCAATTATTCTCTATGATCCTTCATTCTATATTTTTGCTTTTCAACTATCTATTTTTTTTTGTCCTTATTTAAATCCCCATATTTGATACCAGACTAACTCTCATATGTACGAAAGCTTGGCACGTCGAATACGGAAACCCGGAAATCTTTTTACCGTTGCCGTTTTCATACTATGACGCAAAATCCATGGACGCTCGTCTGCTGCTGAATTCAAGTTTTACTGTTTAAAAAGAATGGACAAAGATAGTAACCCATTTCAATATATCTGTTAATAATAACTTTTTGACCCATCAGTTTGAAAAACCAAAGGTCTTTGTATCAACTATCTGACCATTGTCGATTAACTGGGGAACGAAACAAGGGAAGGTCTATTAACAGGACAGATAAAACCAGGACAGTTATTTTCGATACGTTTTCATCTGTAACTTTTGTTTTAACCAACATATTGTTAAAATTTAAATTGTAGAATAAAGAACAGGGTATATACATTAGAAACTAAGAAAGTCAACGCAACGAAAGTGTTTCGTTTTGATGGATTACGTACCAACTTATTGTACTTGGAAAGCGCAATGAAAGGTAAATATAATCATGCACATTTTTAGGAAGATGCTATTGCTATACTTTTCACGAAAAACCATTTGACTTTATCCATGTCATGCATGTAAACCCGAAAATCAGTCAAAGATTGGCAAAAACGGAAGCAAGTCAAGGGTAACACGAATGAACGAATAACACCGTTTTTAACCGAATAACACTTGAAATGACCGAATAACACTCGCAATTTTAATATTAGCACATATTGGTGACTTTTAATAAAAACATTGATTATAAAATAATATTATAAGAAATCACAATGCCAATGGCAATGGTCGCCATGTTGGATGTACACACTATATTTATAATGATCTTTATGAATTTACCTGCTTTCTATATATCATTTTTAAGCTATAAAATACATTTATGATATACTATTATTCAATAGGGGAAAGTCGGCTAATTGCGGACACTTTTTCAAATCCGGAAGTTTGGATAACGTCGAGGCCAATTGCGGACATACTGGTGGTTGCATTTGACAGGAGAGGATAGAGGGGTATCAAATGGACCATTTCCCGCGTTTTCAGGTCTCCTCTCTTGATTTGTAGATTGCAAACTCTTAAAACCCGCGGAAATGCCGAGTAGGGTAAATGCGGACAGGGGGAGTTAAAATACGGACACCTTGTCGTCAAATTGCGGACACTTATTTTTAAACATTTCTTGCTATTCAAAACGCAGATATTATGCATATATAACATTAGCTCGCATGAATACCCCTCAGGAATACCCTTTCAGTGCATCTTAAAGCATGTTTGAGAATGGTTTTCTCGCATTAACTGGTAATACATGTGGAAAGGTGAGAAAAAATAAGATTAAAAAAGTTCATTAAATATCCTATACCACACCAATTATTAAATGATATAAGATGGTACTGACAACTTCCATCGGGATATTGTCTTCCAAGATGCATGCGTGCATATATACGAGATATAGTTGTGATAACTTTCAATTTAAAATCGTATGGCATTCATTGTAATGTGTTTTAATGTCCTAATCACTTAAAAATCCGTAGCCCTCACTCAAGAGCATAAGATGCCTTGAGGCGAGATTTTTTTAATTGCATTTTCCGATACTTATAAGATAATTTTATTAAGGCCCCGCCGAATGGCGGACGCCCTATAGTGATCAGTCTGTCCGTCCGTCCATCCGTAACAGATTGTGTCCGCTCTATATCTAGAGAACCGTTATGATTTCAAAGTTTATATTGACATGTATATTAACCAACACCAGAGGGTGTGTCATAATTTATGTACAACTTCCTAGGTCAAAGGTCAAGGTCAAAAACTTTGGTTTTAGTTGACAACCCCATGTCCTATGGTAAAAATCGTTTCCGCTCTATATCTTGAGAACCGTTATCCTTTCAAAGTTTATACTTGACATGTATATAAACCAACACCAGAGGGTGTGTCATAATTTATGTACAACTTCCTAGGTCAAAGGTCAAGGTCAAAAACTTTGGTTTCAGCTGACAACCCCATGTCTAATGATAAAGATACACATTTTTTACCACACATTATTCACAGCGGGGCCCACAGAGATGGCTCCCATCTCAATGATATCTAGTTTATCCTCGGGTTTCTATGTACTCTTTGACAAACATGATTTTTTGCGGCCCATCCAACACCATGAACATCTGAAAACAGTTTATGGAATGGGTAAAAAGGGTTAATTTTTAAGAATTGTTAAATCAAAAATGGGAAAACGCAAGGTGTGAGGGAACATGCAAATTTTGTAAATTGGAATGTTAAAAAAAAAAAATAAGAATATGGAAAAATAGACACCAAAAAATTTAGGGAGTTATGGAAAAGTCAGTATTATGTTTAGTTTTATATGTATTGTCTATCATTTGTTGTTTCTAATGTATTGGTCTTTTATTGGGCAATGTATGAAAAATATATGTTGAAGAACCTAGCCCGTAATTATAAATTATGTAATTCATTGACCGCTCCCGACATGTGTAACTTCAAAGCATAGTTTAGCGGCGATCGATGTCTTTCAAAATTACTGCACTTTTCTTGTATCCCTGGTGCTTTCGACTTGAGAACCGTCGTAGACAAGCATCGCACAAGTTGGCACTCCGAGGCAGGTAGGGAGCAAAAAAGTGAACTTTGGTTTATTTTTAGCAATAGTACCGCTTAAGTCGACGCTAGGGGCCGTCTTGACCTTGTAGGATATGAATGATTCGTTCATTGTTGAAGACCCTACTTCAACTGTCAAGATGAAGAACAGGAATAAAAGCCCTGTTCATTGATAACTTTTTATTTTTTTCTATGTATTGTGTGCGATTTTGTCCCATGTACATTTACTCCATATCCTTTATTTTCTCTTATGAATACTGACCCATGTCACTCCTCAATGAAGGGTCTTGCTGGCTTAAGTCCAATATCTCGAAAATGAAAAGTAAAAAAAAATGAAAGGGAGCTTCCCCTAATGTTACTAAGTGTTGTGCTAAAATTTCTTTTAAAATCTGTCGGAGTAAATTTGAGTTATCCTACGACATAGAAAGTGTAGACGGACGGATGAAAAGACGGGCAGAGTGATTACTATAATAGGGCACCCACCAAAAGTCGACAGGCCATAATAAAGACGTAGTGCTGGAGATTGTGGTCACGCATGATGATACGCTATTGGCGTTCGTTGCATTTCGTTACATATATACTTTTTTCTATATAATGCCTGTTCTCTGACCAATAATGGCATCGGATTTGATCCGACTGGCAAAAGGATACCAGCGTGTGTAGAACATGCATACCTAGTTCTGTGCCTTAGATGAAATGTCTAAAACACAACAGGTTAACGATAGGTGCAAAGGATGATTAATTACTAACATTAATTCGTCCATGCAGGTAAAAAAAAAAAAAAAAACGTGAGGCATACGTCGTTCACATGAGAAAATTACCGAACCAAATATGGAAGATGCAGGTGATACAGTTTCACCCGAGGAGGAGGATGAGGACGAGGAAGAGCTTATCAAAACTTTTTAGATATTAAATAGGTTACATTTGAATTTTTATATGATTACAAAGCTTTTAGTTTATGATTATTTCATAACTAAAGAAAATAAGTTTTTGATTACCAAAGCAAATATTTAATGATTATGTGATTATGCTGGCAAAAATTTGGTGATTATGCGATTACTGGTATCTCCCCATGAGGGGCCTCGTTTGTTTTTCGATTTGCCACAGACGGATGGACAAACAGACAGACAGACGACTGGATGCACAAAGTCGTTACTGTTGGACGCTCACAAAAGTCTAAAGAGGTCTTTAAAACCAATGTATTAGTTACATTATTTCTATCATGTTTTGAAAAAAAAGTTTTATGAAAACATTTCTTTCAAAAGAATATTCGTGATATCAATAATTTTATCTGTCTCTTCCGCAGTACGAATGTCCAACTCTTTACATCTTATATTTGATTTTCTAGCAATAAACACAATGCTGCTGAATTCATTTCCCTTATCACTTTTCGCATAGTAGTGTTGATACATATTCATGTTTTGATAAACGTATTAATTTCATAAATAAATAGCCAATAACATCATTATCAAATAGCCACTCGTCTACGAGACATTGTTGCAATTTCATTCGGGTGATTGTTTTCTGTACATTTTATTTCATTCCATTTGCTTTCGTAAAATGTCCTAAACATGTAGACATTCTGTAAAGAAAGAGAAATAGATTGGCTTGCCATCCCGGGGATGACGTTTACAGTTTTTGACCTATTGAAGATGTGTGCAAGTTGCCAACTGGAGTGGAAATCAGACTTGTAAACGCATTATGTTCGTAATATGCAAAATGAAAGCAAATCAAATAAACCCAAATCAAAACTTTATTGATATAAATGTATCGGATTGAAACTAATAATGCTAGATTATAAGAGAGTTTTGTTTATTTCCGTCATCATGGTATTGATATATGCCCCACTGCACGTGTTAGTTGTTCAAAATATCTTGTGTCCGCATTTCGGCTATCATATTATTTTCGGTGGCGAAAATGCGGACACTTGCTTAGTCCTGTTTTGTAATCAAAATTTAGACAAATCAGTAAAAATAATTAAAAGAAATGTTTCCTTGCATAAAATACGCAATGCTGATCGCTTTTCAACACATAAATTGCCATTCTTACATGAGCAACTGTGTATTGAATGTGACACGCTGACTTTGGACCTTTTTCAAAATTTTCCGGTTTTCAAACTTGTTGACATAAGCTATTTATAGCATGCAATTTCAATCACATGACATAAAAGTAAATCGTAAGCAATAGACACAATAACTTTATTGCAACAAAATAGAGATTCAATAGTAAACAAAACACCTTATTTCTTATATCTATTTTATTTCAATTTTTCATAATTTTATTGAAAAGTGAGATATTCGTTTTCCGTCCGCATATCGGCGCTGTCCGCAATTAGGCGATTTTCCCCTAATCAATGTTTAAAAGTCAACAATATGTGCTAATATTAGAATTTCAAGTGTTATTCGGTCATTACAAGTGTTATTCGGATATTAACGGTGTTATACGGTCATTCGAGGTACTGGCAAGTCAACTCACCCCATTGCCATTGGCAAAACTCCCCATTTTAAAATTGCTCCACTCTTGTTTAGGGAGCTACCATTAGATCTTTATGGGAAAGGGGGCTTTGACGAAATTGTCTGTCGTCATCGTCTGTCATTGTAAACTATTTCAAAAATCTTCTCCTCTGAAACTACTGGGCCAAATACCTTCAAACTTTAGCTAAATGTTCCTTAGGGTATCTAGTTTATAAATTGTATCCGAAGTTTTGATCACTGACAAACATGGCCGCCATGGCTAAAAATTGAACATAGGGGTCAAATGCAGTTTTTGGCATATATCTCAAAAACTAAAGCTTTTAGAGCAAATCTGACATGGGGTAAAATTTTTCAATTGGTCAAGATCTATCAGCTCTGAAATTTTCAGACGAATTGAAAATTCCATTGTTGGGTTGCTGCCACCGAATTGGTAGTTTTAACAAAATTTTGCAGTTTTTTGTTATTATTTTGAATATTATTATAGATAAATATAAACTGTAAGCAGCAATAATGTTCAGCAAAGTAAGATCTACAAAAAAGTTAATACGACCATAATTGTCAATTGACCCCTTAAGGAGTTGTTGCCCTTTAAAGACAATTTTACACAATTTGTTCAAGTTTGCTAACATTTAAAAATCTTCTCCTCTGAAACTACTGGGCCAATTACCTTCAAACTTTAACTAAATGTTCCTTAGGGTATCTTGTTTATAAATTGTATCCGAAGTTTGTATCCATCGACAAACATGGCCGCCATGGCTAAAAATAGAACATAAGGGTCAAATGCAGTTTTTGGCATATATCTCAAAAACTAAAGCTTTTAGAGCAAATCTGACATGGGGTAAAATTGTTTAACTTGTCAAGATCCATCGGCCCTGAAATTATCAGACGAATGGAACAATCCATTGTTGGGTTGCTGCCACCGAATTGGTAGTTTTAACAAAATTTTGCAGTTTTTTGTTATTATTTTGAATATTATTATAGATATATATAAACTGTAAGCAGCAATAATGTTCAGCAAAGTAAGATCTACAAAAAAGTTAATATGACCAAAATTGTCAATTGACCCCTTAAGGAGTTATTGCCCTTTAAAGACAATTATAAACAATTTGTTCATTAAGTTTGCTAACATTTAAAAATCTTCTCCTCTGAAATACAGGTGAGCGATTCAGGCTCTTGAGAGCCTCTTGTTTATTCAAAAACCTGATAAATTTTTAGATGTTTTGTAGATGTTTATATCAAAATATTTTTATTTTCATAAATAAAAATTCAGGAATTATTAAATGAAATATTGTTTTAAATTGATTTAATGATTAATTATTAAATGTTAATTATGTATGATTACTGCTAATTGGTATTTATACACAGCCTAATTTGGTGTTATTGTTGAGTGTTTAAAAATCATGATTGTTGTCATGGTTGTTTTAACTTGCTTTGATGTAAATAATGCATGTATTAAGCTTGGTATGCAGTCTTCACGCTGAACCACAGGCCCAGCAGCCCAGGCTTGTAAAATTGCTCTCGGGCCTGTAAAAATCATATCTACAGGCCAACAGAATCTAACTAAAATTTTCCCAAAATTGAGCTCTGGGCCTGTAGATTTTAAAGTTCATCGTGAAGACTGGGTATGAGTAAAACTTTGAAGTTATGGGGTTTTATTCATTAAACATGTTAAAAAAGGGGGATTTTCCAGTTTTCGGATAATAACTCAAAAACACTTTCACCAATTTGCAAGAAACTTTGGTAATTGTTTATATCTACTGTAAATTCAGAAACTATTGCGATGTTTTTATTATTGCGAAAAATGCGACAGGGTTATAATCGCAATAATTTAAACTCGCATTTTTAAATTTTTTATATGAATTAAGCAGGATTTTTCTCAATATCGCAAACATTAAAATCACATTTTAGTCTAAAAGGACAAAATCGCAATAATAAATGCACGCAATAATTTCTGAATTTACAGTATTGTCGTAAGCTCCCTTTCGATTTTTATTAATTTTAGATTTTATGTTTCAGAGTTATGTGATTTTATTCATAAAAAAGGGGGGATTTTCATATTTCAGAAAATGCTTTGAGCAGTTATCATGAAACTTTGGTGACTGGTTAATATATCTATTAAGATAACCTCCCTTTAGTTTTTCATGAATGTCTGATTATGACATTGAAAAGTTATTGAACTTTATTCTTTGAATAAGCGATGGGTGTATCATGTGCTCATGGCGCAGCTGTCTATTTATTTTGGGCCAGGTTTTCAAATTGGTCTACATGCAGGGGTTCAAATTTGCTTTAAAAAATGAAAGGTCCTGGACTATTTGAAATTTTCAGTCCAGTGAAAGGTCCTCCATAAGAAATTTAATGGTTCTGTTTAAAGCATATGATCTGTGTTAAGAATGGTAGGTTCTTGACTTGTAATTTAAAAATAAAAAGTCCCCTCCTAGAAAAGACAGGTCCCTGACCTCAGACTTGCACTATTTTGAACCCCTACATAAATAAAAGGTTCAAAGGGACAAAAATTAACTTTATTTTTTTCTTCATTGTTCTTAGCAACTTCTATGACTTCAATCCATTGCTTTTTGATATTTGATAATACAAGTTTAATATTAGTAAAAAATAATTCTTATGCAATTCGTTGGTTATGATAATTTTCATATGACTTTGACATATATATATTTTGAAGAGGTAAATTCCACGTTCTACCAGTCCGTAACTAAGAAAGCCACCATTTTGAATTCTGATTTATTTTGGTATGTAATTTCTCACAAATTAAACATGAAAGTCACATTTTGTGTCTCAAAATGTGCACAAAATGTTCTTTTTGTCAACGTTGAAACCATTCTGAAGTGTACGAAAGGTATAAATAAAATGTACGTCTAGAGTTTTATGTTTGACATCATGAGTATACATATGACGTCACATTGTTTAGTTGCTAAAGACAATGCAACAGTTTCGCGGACTTTTTCATTTATTTCATTTTACGCCAAAATATTTGTTAAATGGTATTTATTTTAATATGCTGCATTAGAATGTAGATAACTGTATTGTATTTTAAGCTTGGCCTTTGTTAAACTTGATTTTACTGTCACATCACTAGGTAAATACAGATATGATTATCCCCTAAATGTATAAGCTAATTGTTTGCAAAACTCTTTGAATACTTATTATAGTCTTGCATCCACATGCTATTAATAAAGTACTGTTTTCTCCCTTTCAGCAGAACATTGTAATACTACAAATGGACAGAGGAGTTGACTATTGATAGTGACTGATAATGGACTGGAGTAACCTAGGGTCCAATGACTCCATGCCTGACAGTCCATGTGTACATGTATGTCAACAGCCAATTCTAAGTAACCTTAAACATATATATACAAAAGACCTAAAATAATAGTATGTGCATCTATGGAGACTTATATGTCATTGTTATCACACAGTGTTGTGTGGCTTCATTACTGATTAGAGACTACTCAGATTATCCTTTACTTTAAGTTCAAATATAATGTATATACATGTACTCAATGATTATGACTTGCCTCCATTTAACTTGTAATAATTAGTTATGATGCAGGATCCAACAAAAAGCATATTTTTTTTTTACCTACATTTTATGCGTCAGTCTCACTGATTTATTAAGTACCTTGTAAATGTATATGGATATATGTATGAATTTAAATTGTGATACTTAGTTTTGAGTCTTGCACATATATACATCATTGTACATTGTCATAGGAGTTAAGATTACTTTGATCGCTGTCAGACAATGACAGAGTGTTTTGAACATTGCTTCATAATGTTGATCAGATTACCTTATTAAATTAATAAAATGTTATTGTCACAGAATGAAATTTTTAGTATTTTAGAAATAAGGTCTTACAATGTATGGTAGGATTGTCAATGAGAAAACTTTCCATTAGTCGAAGAGGATTAAAAAAATTTAGGTCACTGTATGACCTTCAACAATGAACAAAACCATACTATATAGTCAGCTGTAAAAGATCCTGACAAAGTGAGCAACAATCCAATCCAAAAAACTAGTGATGTTCCAATTACCATGTGCAGTATTGGTTATAATATAAAAATATCACTTGTTTTCTCTCTCTATACCAAGGGAGAACTGTATAGCCAATTTATTTTTATTGGAAAGCAGTGCATCAGGTTCAGATTTTATATAATAATCACAGGAATTTTAATTTTCAGAATTAGCTCCTCAGATGTAAGTGGAAGGGAAGCTATATACATTATATGTTTAAATGAAATTAACAACAGGATTAGATATTGAGGAGATCCTATAGCTACAGTATATATAAATGTAACTGGTATGTATTTGTTACAGTATTTAATTTCCAAATGGTATAACAAAAGTACTGAATTCCAAGGCAATTTCAAAAAATTTGTAAGGGTTAGGCAGAACCCAGTGTCTCGCCTACTTTTGCTGTTAATCGCAGGCTCAACAAAAATGAGGAAAGAAGTTAATAAAAATATTCCTTTCGATACTATCTTTTGATTGTAAGAAGCTTCTGTCCAAGTTTGGTAAAAATCCAGGATGGTTTATGAATCAAATAAATGTTTTAAATCTTTAACTGCAGACTGTATGTAATGTTAACTGGAAGAAAAACTAAGTCCATTTATAAGTAAAGTACGGATGAACAGGTACACAATTTTAACAAAATTTCCTTCTAGATACTAGCTTTTGATCATAAACAAGCTTCTGTCCAAGATTGGTAAAAATCCAGGATAGTTTAAGAAAGTTATTAAAATTTAAAAAACTTTAACCACAGAGTGAATGTAATGTTTCCTGGCATAAAAACTAAGTCCATTTATAAGTAAAATAAGGAAAAACAGAATTTTTTTTTACAAAATTTACTTCTGGATACTTTCTTATGATCATACACAAGCTTCAGTCCAAGTTTGTTAGAAACCAGGATAGTTTAAGAAATTTATTAAAATTTCAAAAACTTTAACCACAGAGTGAATATTTGTGGACGCTGCAGACGACGGAATGTAGGATCGCTTTGTCTCGCTTTTTCAACAAAAGTCGAAGGCTAGACAAAAAGGGAGGTCAATGGTGGTAGCTGCTGGATTTTAACATCAAAAAAGTGCTTTTTTAAGTTATTGCCCTTATACTTTGAATAGAAAAAATATGTGCAATAATGGGGACATTGGAACTCTTTTCTTCTATTATAATTAATAAATGTATATACAAACAACTGCAACATTACCAAAAAGTTTCAGAACATTTTGACTTTCATCTGAAATGTTTACAAATTCCCGCTTTCATAGCAAATTTCAACCATAATGAAACTCCACAGCAGAGGTAATCAAAAAGTAGTGCAGATAAACAATTTGCAGAGCATTTGGAGTTTTGATTTATACCCCTTTAGAAGATAAATCACAAATTTTGTAACTAGATGTTTACAGAATGCATAGAGCTATAGACATACCATTTTTAGCTCACCTGGCCCAATAGTTTTTGGTTATTATCTTGAACTTTATAATAGATAGAGATAAACTGTAAACAGCAGTAATGTTCAGCAAAATAAGATTCACAAATAAGTCAACAGGATCAAAATGGTCAATTGACCCCATAAGGAGATATTGCACTTTAAAGTCAAATTTAACAATTTTTCGTAAATATTTGTAATCTTTTACAAAAGTCTTCTCCTGAAACAACTGAGACAAATTTGACCAAACTTGGCCATAATAAGCATTAGGGTATTTAGTTTAAAAATAGAACATAGGGGGAAAAATGCAGTTTTTGACTTATATTTTTGAAACTAAAGCAAAAGTATAACGGTTGCATTATTTCATGCATCAATTGTAAAATAAAAAAAATATCAGGTGAGCGACATAGACTCCTTGAAGCCTTTAGTAGGTATTGTAATTTAATTGAGGTTAAGACATGTAAGAAAGGGGCTTGAAAAATGAGGAATTGTGTTTCTATAGGCACTTAGTAATCTAGATCTATAATACTAAAATAACAAGGTCCAATTTGTGAGCCGGCATGACATAAAAATGACGATTCAAAGAATTCAACTTTATATATAACTTATATATATAGGACAATGATGTTGATTAAAAATTACACCATTCCAGGCCCATTTGTTTTCCACATAATTATTACTACAAATAATTAACAAGTTCTGGGTTGAAGGGTTCAAAAAGAAAGATTTTGAAAGCAGAGAAAACTGTGCACCTAATGACCAGCATGACATTATTAGATGACAAAACGAAAACTTAAAATCCAGGCTAAAAATAATCCTACGGTACTTTGCTTCAGTCACGACCCCATGATGTCCCATGAGTATTCTAGTATATATTATCTATACAGGTAATGTGTAGTACACATGCATGAATAGAGTTAGTTTTCATTATTAATTTATTTTGATAAAAATGAGAAGATGTAGTATTATTGCCAATGAGACAACTATCAACCAGAGTCCAAATGACTGAATGTTAGCAACTATAGATCACTGTATGAACAGCTTTCAACAATGAGCAAAACTGATACTGCATCTAGCAAGCTATTAAAGGTCCTGAAATGACAGATGTAAAACAATTCCAATTTACGTAAAAGACATTAAATGAAAAATAAATATGATAAACAACAACTATTATATTCCACTCCAGTTGTTCACGCGATATATATATATATATGTAAGTTTGGTAAATCATTGGAGATTAAATTGATGTTATCATTTTTGCCTGATTGGTAAGCCAATATTTGATGTATGTTTTACAAAAAATATATGCTGTTTTTGTCTCGCTTGACGGAGTCAAAAAGCGAGACATAGGTATGCTGTTTCTGGTGTTGGTGATGACGGCGGCGTCAACAATGTATTAGTTTGTGATTAGGTCTAGTTTATAGTGAACCACAAGCAGTAAGTCGAAGATATTTGGTATGCAGTTGTATTAGTTTGGCACATCTCATTACCATGGAGATTATTTGGCCCTGCCCCCTCAGTTATGGTCTATTGACTTTGAAACTCTTGCTTAGTCTTCATGTATTAGTTTGTGATTTGGTCAGTTTATGGAGAACCACTAGTGGTAAGTTAATTATGATTGGTATGCAGTTGTATAAGCATTGGCATATCTCATTTCCATGGAGATTATTTGGCCCCGCCCTCTCAGTCATGGTCTATTGACTTCTAAATTTTTGCTTAGTTTTCATGTATTAGTTTGTGACTAGGTCAGTTTATGGGGAACCACTAGTGGTAAGTTAATGATAATGGGTATGCAGTTGTATACGCATTGGCATATCTCATTTCCATGGAGATTATTTGGCCCTGCCCCCTCAGTCATGGTCTATTGACTTTGAAACTTTTGCTTAGTTTTCATGTATTAGTTTGTGATTAGGTCGGCTCATGGGAAACCACTAGTGGTAAGTTAATGATATTTGGTATGCAGTTGTATTAGCATTGGCACATCTCAGTACCATGGAGATTATTTGACCCCGGCCCCTAAGTTATCGTTTATTGACTTTAACATTTTCTTAGTTTACATGTATTAGTTTGTGTTTAGGTTTTGCGTTGTATTAGCAATGGCACATCTAATTTCCATGGAGATTGTTTTGCCATGTACCTTCAGTCATGGTTCATTGACATTGAATATTTGCAAATTTTACATGTTAAAGTGTTGCTATTTTAATTTCAACATTTGCATTATCGAATTTACCAAAAAGCGAGACATGTCTCTGTGATTACAGTTTATTTTTTTTATTACAGCAACTGTATTCCAAGAGTTTGATGGCCGATAATGTATTACAGGATTTTATCATTCAAGCAACATCTTAGAAGGATATGTGCAACTGTATGAAGGAAGCCTTGGGTACAAATAGCAATTACAGCAATTACATGCAGGAGAGAACTCTTAAACATTAATAACAGACATGTAGTCATTATATGGGAGTGGTGTATTCAAGAAATCTAAAACACATGGAATAAATATTGTGTATATTTTTTCAACAAGTACTCTCAGAATATAATACAATTCAAATTCAAATTATTGTGCCAACATGACAATTACACTCTAAAAATGGAAAATGAATGTTTTAAACTGAATTTTATATAAATATTTGAAATAACAAGAATTTTTAGTTTATTGTGCAGGCAAACTTTGAGATCTTCTAATGGTATATGCCTGTTGTTTGTCAACATTTGTTTTCTTTTTGCCTTAACCTTAAGATTGGTGTTAAAATATAAAACTGAAATACATATATGAAATAAGAAGGAAATATTAATGGTTGTAAATAACAGCAAGACTTTCAATATGGTATATCAAAATATATTTCACAGAACTTTCTATTTCAGTTTATTAATACAATGAGATATGAGGTATAAATAAATCAGACAGCTACACAACAAAAACACATGAAAGACATTAAGATGCTAACATACAGTCCTCAACAATGAACAGGTGTCTAAACAATGTCATGATCTACTTAATTAACCAGAGTCTATACCAATCAAAGAGCTGCCATCAACACCAAATTCTTTAAATATTTTTTTTCATTAGGATGAGACTTTAGACAACCACTGAAAAGGTTCCTGGCTTGAAACAGGCACATGAATATGTGATATGTGGCAGGGTGAACTACTTTTTTTCTTCCAAACTTTCAAAAGAAAAATTGGCATCTTTTGCAAGTAAGACAATTTCCATAATGTGATTGGATTGTCTCATGACTGATAACCACAAAATGACTTGTACATACATATTAAAAATGAAATATACATTAGTGCATACATATTCTATAAATGAATCACCAATCCTTACATCACTTTTAAAAAAAAGTATTGAGACTTGAACATAACCGAAAAAAATTCTAGGAGTGAACTAAGGTGACCTGGATATTTGCTTGCCTTCTTTGTTTTATTGCATCTTATCTCTTGCATTGGAGATATTGTGAGTTGGGAGTTGATAGATAAATATTTTTTGTATTGTTTAGGATCAAGAAAGTAAAATATAATGGAAGTACGAACACATAGTCAAGACCAAGAAGAATATTTATATTTATATATATCAAAATAGAATGTGTACTAGATTAGCATTAACTTATCTAAAATATGCTCAAATACTGTGAATTTGTGTGATTGATGCTCAATTCACCTTAATTTCATTTTAGAAAAATTAACATGAAAGCTTGATTCACGTTAGTTTCACATGAAAAATTTAACATTAATTGCACGAGAGTTTCATGTATAAGCTTGTCTGAGATGAATCTTACATGAAATTTACGTGAACAAAATTTGCCTGTGTTTGCCAGAGAAAACACATGTATAACGCATGTGTTAGAAAAATGTGTTACAAATTGCATGTAATTCACATGAGAACTGAAATACATGTCAACAATCATGGTAATTGGACAAATAGGAGGACATTTTGAAAAATATTTAATACAGGCACCATGCCTTTTACATGTAGTAATCACGCATGTATCACAGGTGTATTTCCTTACGCATGTAATTCACATGTGAAACGCATGATCACATGTGTGTATCATGCGTATCACATGTGTTTTTCACACATGCGTGGCATGAAACGTCTCTTTCACATGCGTGTGACACACATGTGAAACGCATGTGTCACGCATGTTCACATGCGTGGCATTTTTGCCAGTGTACACCCTTTGGTTTTCTTTTATTTCCTTTTCTTTTATATTACTTATTCATTTTTTCGTCGAGCCTGCGACTTCTGTCGCAGAAAGCTCGACATAGGGATAGTGATCGACCGGCGGCGGCGTTTACTTACTACTTTTAAAAAGCTTTATATTTAAGAAGGTGGAAGACCTGGATGCTTCATACTTTGTATATAGATGCCTTATGTTGTGAAGTTTCCGTCTGTCATATGTCCGTTGTCCTTGACCTCATTTTCATGGTTCAGAAACTACTTGAAAAACATATAATAGGATAACTATATTTAGTATGTGCGTGCCTTGCAAGGTCCGCATGCCTGTCAGACAGTTTTCATCTAACCTCGACCTCATTTCATGGCTCAGTGAACAAGGTTAAGTTTTCATGGTCAACTCCATATCTCAGATTCTATAAGCAATAGGTCTACTATATTTGGTGTATGGAATGATTGTAAGGTGTACATGTCCAACTGTCAGGTGTCATCTGACCTTGACCTCATTTTCGTGGTTGAGTGGTGAAAGTTAAGTTTTTGTGTTTTGTCTGGTTTCCTAATACTATATGCAATAGGTCAACTATATTTGGTGTATGGAAAGATTTTACGATGTATATGTCAGTCTGGCAGGTCTTATTTGACCTTGATCTCATTTTCACGGTTCATTGCTCGGTGTTAAGCTTTTATGTTTTGGTCTTGTTTTCGTTAACTATAAGAAATAGGTCAACTATATTTGGTGTATGGAATGATTGTAAGGTGATTATGTCTGTCTGGCAGGTATCATATGACCTTGACCTCATTTTCATGGTTTATTGGTCAATGTTAAGTTTTCATGGTTAAGTTCGTTTCTTAGATACTATAAGCAATATGTCAACTATATTTAATGCATAGATTGATTGTAAGGTGTACATGTCTGCCTGGCATGGTTCTTCTGACCTTGACTTAATTTTTATGGTTCATTGGTCAATGTTAAGTTTTCCTGGTTAAATTCGTTTCTAAGAAACTATAAGCAATAGGTCAACTTTATTTGGTGTATGGAATGATTGTAAGGTGTATTTCCGGTTTTGTTCATCTGACCTTGACCTCATTTTCTTGGATCATGTTAAGTTTATACGATACTTGTAGTAAAGCTTTATATTAAGAACTATCAACATAAAATCAATGGTCAGTAAAGCCGGCGAGACATTTCAGCGTGTGCACTCTTGTTTTATGTACATATAAAACCTTATACTAATTATTTTTTTAAATTCACATACACATATTTAGGCCTATTTGGGTTTATACAAAATATTTTGGCTACTAAATTCACATACACAATTTGGCATATCAAATTTCTCTACTCTTTACTTGGCTGCTGGTATACCATGACAAAGTTGCGCTGCCGCTCGCTGTCGTTTGCTTGGCATTTTCTCCTGTTCCGGCTTTTGTTGGCTCCTATTTTAATTTTTTTTTAAAATCTTTTTTTGTTCTTTATTTAAAATTTTAACTTTTTATTTTCTTTTATTTATTTAAGTTTATTATTTTATTTATCAAAATATTGTTAATTTTACATTTTATTCATGTTATGTTTTTTTCTTTTTGTCACTCAAAATTATATCAATTACCATAATGTGAACATAAATGATTTAAATGCACAAAAAGGCGCAAGCCAGGGCCGACATTACAAGACCCTCATATGGGTAGTCAAGGTCATTAAACCCCCCCTCGTCATCGTCGTCAATTGTTCTGTAAATTTCTTATAACTTTATGATTGTTATTACAGGGTGTTTTACGTGACTGATTAATAAATACCCTGAACCCTAGCAAAGCGACTTGACTTTTATAGTATGAAGCCTCCAAAAGTTAGCTATTACACATACATCAAATTAAATACCACGGCGACTTGGCCTTCATCTTTCATAGCATGGTGATTTTACCTAGAATTGCCATAACAACGACAAAAAAAATTCTAAAAAATGTGCGCATGGTCAACGCTTTTATAATGTACAACCCTATAAAATTACTAAAAGAAGCATTCGATACTTATAAATACATTTTTTTGCTAGGATCATGAAAACACGATTTCTATCCAGTTTTTATTTCATTTACCTGTGCACTTTATTGTGGAAGCTCGTGTCATCATGAATGTTGATCAATTTTACATTTCATTTTGAAATGAATGTTAATTTGCTGTTAGCCAATCAAAATAACGTATCATAATGAACCATACATGCAATGTAATTATATATATATATATATATATATATATATATATATATATGATAGGTAGGTTCTGCAAGGTGGAACGGGACGACCGGAATGAAGAACGGGAATTTTAACTGCCACTGGAAAATAAAGGTGTGTTTGATAGGGGAAGGCATTTTGTCTTACATGATGCCACATACGGACCCCTCGGAGTTGTTGCAAGAGTTCTACAACGCACATAGAGCGTGGCATTCACCATACACAAGACAAACACTGTAGTATAATTTTTGAATAATGTCTTTATTGGAACTTACATTGATTTTGTTTTTATAAATTAAACATAATTATATTTTTAAAACGTTTATACTTATTGGCAACCATATCTCCTTATTCTATTATATAGTGACTTGTTTCTTATTATGCTAGATATTGAGACACTGTTAACTGTTACAGAGTGACTTCAGTTTTGTACTTTAACTCCTCTAGGTAATGTCAGTGGCGGATCCAGAATTTTTCATAAGGGGGGCCCGCTCCAGTCATGCTTCAGTGATTCCCTATATAATCAACCAAATTTTTCCCACGAAACATTTCTTATTGTGTTTACTGTCTTTTAACAAACACAGTTAAAAATTTAAAATGTGTATGACAAACGAAATGATTTGTCAACTTTTCATTCTTTATTATAACATACAACCAGCATATGGTGTTTTTGTATCTTGGTGAATATGATATGAGAGAGCATGTTCTCTTTAAAAAATTAGTATAGTGTTATTCAAGACTATAAAAACAGGATTATCGGGAAGGGAAATGACTGAAATAATATCTTCGAACTTTAGCATGAATAGCAGAGTTGCTTACCCTTTAGACCCTGATCTGAATTGCAATCACATCTGTGTTTGTTTCTTTCAACTTTGACTTGACTTCGGAAACTGCTATTTTAATTTTGTAATGCATACAAACAATCTTAATGAGGAGAACTTTATTAACTTCAAATGAGTCCAATCCGGAGTGAAGCAGATAACCCATAAAAAAGACATACAATATACAGTACTACATATAGTATACAAAAGTATATGGAATATAAAACAAACCATCTGTCTAAAATCAGTTTATATTCAGCGATATCGAGAAGGTGAATAACATCATCAATTCAAATACTTCATCAGGTATTATTGATACAATTTCCATCCGGAGAATGTTGTTCTGGTATGACTATCCACGCTCAAGATTTTACCCTGGTGGTCATAATTATTCCTGATGTAAACTTCCGTGCCTTCAGGTACGTATTTGATGACAAAACCTGTTGAGCATGCGTCATCATCTAAAGTTTCCGTATCTGTATGCAATACGCCAATTACGGAATTGCCAGTCATTAATTCTGTACCGTATTCTCCGTATTTCAAAGAAGGAACGATGTCAATAGTACGCGAATCAACGCAAAAGGTCAAAGTGAACCCGTAAACACCAGAGGAAGGAGCTGTAAACTTTCCTGTACTGGTACTATATCCAACACCGTAATTTGCTTCTGTTTTGTCGAATATAATTATGTCTCCGATAGCCATGGAAGCACTTTGTGAATTTGCACTGTCTTCTGATATGTAAGATGAAAATGCAACTTTGCAAGAACAACCTGAAAGAAAACAAAGATTTCATCATATAATATAATTCAATGTACATTAAAACGTCCTAACTACCGTATTGATATATATATAATTTCTGGTACTTCCTGTTTGAATATCCTGCTGAAATGTCTTCCAAAAGATCTATCTCTTGGCAAAATATTGTGGACAAACATTGAATAAGAATACTCCAAATCAAATTATTTTATCTCGTTTTTTTTGTCCCTTTTAAATGACTTTTTTTTCTCGGTTTTCTAACTGTGTTGATGTATTTACAGAAGAGAAATCTAAGTTTATTGCATTCTCTACTGGAAAAAGTCGCGTATATGAAACGCTCGAAAATCAGTCGGTTAACAGTACCTTACGGAATAGGACAAAGCGGTAAGTCCTTCTGAAGCGATGGGGAACTGACTATACAACAAACAAAACTGTAAAATATGAGAAAAATGTAATCAATTTCTTGAAAAAATATAAAACACATCATAGGTTATAAGAATATAAAGCTCATTCAGTTCTCATGAATATTGTAATTACTTGTATTAATTTTGAAAACAAAATCCACTGCTGCACATGGACAAAAAAGCTTTTTATTTCAGAAGGAAAATTCGTTAAAGGCAATATTTCAATTTTAATTTAAGGCATTATTGAATTTTATTTCTCGTTGGTCCAAATAATTTGTTATTGTAAAAAATATATGACCTTCAATGAATCTGAAGTTGTGCGATGGCGTAGAATTTACGGACTACTTTTTTGTTTTTAAAACACATTACCGAAAAACCTTACCCTTTCACAAACTTATCACTGGCTTTCACGATGTCTTACTTGCTATAAAGTCACTATTACTACCAAATGATTGTAATTCGGATAGAGGTTACATTGCATAGTATGAACTGTTGTAAAAACAGCCATAAGTATCAGATAACATAAGCCAGAAGTATATCAGATAAAGGAATTCCTCATTTGTGCGGAGAAGAATTAATACACGTCAATTTTCATGTGGGTACCTCGTAAGCCCAAAAACAGTCGAAAAGAAGCTATATCTTTTGCATAATCACGTCCGCTGCGGGATCATTGATCGATTGATCAAATATATGTGTTATAGTACCCTAATTTTGTTGTCTTTTGTTATACAATTTTTTGCGTGAACCCCCTGTTACATTGGTGAGTTTTGGAAGTGTCTATGGGCCATTCGATATCCTCGAACGTCATTGATCATTTATACAGGTAGTTATCTATGTCTTTGATACGGTCCCTCTATGGTTAGGCTACCACGTGACACTGTAGATTTCAACAATAAAAGTTTATTTGTAGATTGGATAGTAAAACAATAAGACTAGGTTGCAGTCAAAAATCATTTATATGTTAGAACCTATTTGCCTTTTGACAAAACATCTGTGTTTTTAATAATGCGAATGTTTAGTAAATATCAAGTATAATGATAACGCAATTATTTAATTCATGCTTTGAGACGGTCCCTGTACGCGTTGTGTATGTAGTATTTAACACAGCGTGCTGTTGTGCATTGTGACAATAAACCTGGGAATAATTATTGATATATAATGTAAACTTTCTGAACGTTTATCATTTGATATTTTGTATTTCAATCATAGCATGGGAAAATGTCGGAAAGCATGAAGAAAACGATATTTCTGTTATAAATATTTATCTTTGGTCGGAAACGCAGTGGTAGGAAAGCAGAAAGATAATTAAACAAAAGTATTTTTCTGTCAAAAATATCTAATTTCATTAATAGATACTACCAGACCAAGAGAATATTCATTATTAAGTTTAAACTGAGACTGAATTTATTCTTAATAGAATATAATTAAAATTGTCATATATACGTGCATTATGTCTCACAGGTTTGAACAGTCATTACATTTATGAAATTATATGCAACGTGTGAGCAACCATGAGAAAGGATGCGTACCCAAAGTTAGCTAAATATTTAAATTTTAAACGGTCGTGAATGAAAAAATACTTGCATGGTTTCAATTTACAAGGATTTTCAATCCTGGGATCTCACAAAAAACGTAATTAATATTTTACAATAATCACAACAAAATTTAATTACTATGTTAATTATTCTATATTGTTTTAGTATGGATTTATAAGTCTCGGCTCTCTTCAACTTTGTACTTTATTTGGCCTTTTTAACTTTTTTTGATTCGAGCGTCACTGATGAGTCTTTTGTAGACGAAACGCGCGTCTGGCCAATGTTAGACTTTAAGAAGAGATTGATTTGATAAATAAAATGTCCATCCGTAAATGCTTGACGTTTGTGTTTATTGATATTATATTCTAAATTTTCGGAAATGTATGTTAATTATAAAATTTCAATTCTTTTTTTGTTTGTTTGTTTTAATAGTTCAACCTTATAACATCTAAATATTTGCACTATGGTACGATTTTGAAAATTGTATTCAATGTGTTGACCAGTTTTCCTACACGTCTTGGTTCATTCACATTACATATCACCTTGTTCACACGCACACTATCGGTTTGCGCGTTCACACAAATTCCGGATTAAATGGCAATGAATCCGGAGTCAAAACACTTGAGGTAGGTAGTTTGACATCCGAATTCAACTATTAGATTAATATATGTGATGACGCAAATGCGTATTCTTATCCAGAGTTTCAGTGTGTATGCTTTCTCTTTACTATTTCTTGCGCAGAAAATACCATGTGCATGCATAAATCTTAATTTCGCTTGCGAATGCGAATTTTCGCTTTTCTTATCTAAATTCAGGACACGGCAGTAAGAGCTTGACATGTGACTTTCAAGCACGGTCATCATCTATTACTTACGATTTTCTACCCCAGGAATAGATTACTCTAGATGTATTCGGCAAAACCTTTGTTTCGAAATTTTGGGTCCTGAATTCCTTTCAACTTCGTACTTTATTAGGCCTTTTAACTTTTTTTATTCGAGCGTCCGGCTGATGTTTCTTTGTAGACTTAACTCGCGTCTGGCGTACAACATTTCAACCCTGGTATCTTTTTATATCTTCATATCTTTTTATATGAATTGGTTCTTTTGAGAGTATTTTCAGGTATTAACACTGGACACTTTTAATTTGCAAAACACTCATTTGCAAATCCGCCGCCGCCTCTCCTTACAGCTACAGTGTCGTGTATATAACCAAAATGTGCGGAATTACATGGGATTCAATAAATTCATTGCTTTTCTGCTGTTATTATTATATATATTTTGTAATTTGATTTAGAAAAACATGGGATTTTCAATATCCCATGGGATAAGGCAAATCCCATGGGATTGACCATTATCCCATGGGATTTTGGTTAAATCCCATAGGATTTTTTGGGGTCCCATGGGATAATTGTAGTCCCATGGGATATTTGTTGTCCCATGGGACAAACAAAATCCCATGGGACTATAATTATCCCATGGGATTTTTAATATCCCATGGGACAAAATAAAATCCTATGAGATTCAAAATATAAATATACAGTAATGTGTATGTTATAATGAATTCTGTGGTAGTAAATTGTTTTAAGATGAATCTTTTTAGTTGTATATCTTTTTTTCCTTGGAAATGTTAATGCAATTATATTGTTCTATAACTGATCAAAACTAAACTTTTAAACAACAAAGTAGATAATGTAAGTATCAATATATGTTTATTTATGAATTCTAGAATACTTTTTTGAAACACAATTTTTCCCATTTGAAATCAATGAAAACTCTTTTATTAGGCTTAACATACTAGTAGCTTTTTACATAAATCTATTTTTTTTCAGGATATCCCTCCACCCAAAAAATTAATAGTTTCTTATCATCCAGCATTGTGTGATCGTAATGTATAGTCCACTTTTTGGCCATTCAGCACAGAACATTGTCATTATTGTGGTTTTAATATCTTTTGACTTGAGATATTTAATAGAACTTCAATTCATTGACTGAGTGATGAAAATAATAACTGATCTGACTTTTGTCTTTGAATTTATTCTGGTCTTGTTTCTGTGTTTTCTCCTTTTATTCTAATTGATGAATTTCAATCCTTCTGAAAAAGAACCAATAAAATCCGAAGTTATGGATAATAAAAAATTGTTTGCATACTTGTAGCAATAACATATGATTTTCAATAAAAATAGCTATGCTACTGATTGTTGAAGGTTGTCCAGTGTCATCAGTTGCTAACCTCCTACATTCTTTGGTCTCTGATGGAGAGTTGTCAAATTAGCAATATACCACATCTTCCTATTTTAATATTATATAACAATCAATTTACGTATTCTTCTTTATAACATTTGGGTATTTTCCCCAGTTATATATATATATATAGATCAATGTTAAAACTTTAGGCAATTACAATAACATTGAATCAACATTCCATTTTTCACAAGAATTTGCAATATATTATACAAAACGCCAACAAACATACATATTTAAGCTTCTGAAGTTCTGAAAGAGTTCCACTTGTGTTTTATTTCAATGAGAAAATACCTTGAATTCTTTGGACATGTTGGAAATTATAACATTGATACAAAAAATTATATTGGTTTTTTTTCTTATTTTTGTGTTGTTCGGTTGCTGTCTCATTTTTATATATATGGTTATACATATATCCTAAATCTTCTTTTTTTAATACTTAAATATTAATAGTAAAAATGGGATATTTTTTATTTTGATAATCTCAAAACATTATTATTCTATCAAATAACTTATTTTCAAGTTCACAAAACACCAATGTGTCAGATATTAATTTTAAGACATGTATAAACATGATCAACAAGCAGTTGACAGGATGTCATGCAAAAATCTCACTAATATTAAACTTTCACAAAAACTCCATACTCAGCGAGTACTATTAAAGTTCTTAGTACAGGACAAATTCCTAGTACAGGATACCATGCCTGGCAAACACTACCATGTGTCAATGTCTAGTCAATCATGTAATCAGGCTCAAAATCTTAGTTTGGCACTGAATTTAAAAGTTCATCACATAATGAACATGTGTATGAAATTCAACTTCATGGTAAGCTAT